AAAATTCAAATAAATTTTTTTAGATATAATTATAGTTCCTTTTGGGGAACACAATTGTGAAATTGTATTTTTATTTTAATATAATTTTTTAATATATCAATTCATAGCTATAAAATTAAAATTTATTTCTTTTTTTTAAGATTGAATAACATTATAATTAATTTATTCAAACATAATAGTTTATGAAATTATTAAGCAAATTCGTTTAAATCGTGCAACATCCATCTTTTACTATTTGACTAGTTCCTAGATTATAACTCCCAAGATTTTTAATTGGAGCTTGATTGTAAATTTATTTCCTAAACGACAATAATAATATACTACTTCTACTCATAATATAACATCGCCATTCTGATTGCAATAGCATAGTTAAATAGCAAAAAGTAACAATGTTTTATTTCAGTAATAATCAAACAGTGAATCAAATTTGAAAACATAAGAATTTTATTTATATTTTAAAGCAAGTAAACATTGGCATAATCTCATTCGTGCATAAGTAAATAATTGGTCAGTCAAGTAGACGGTGCATGCAATACCCAATGACATATAAAATACCTAAACGATACTCATTAAATGCATTTTCAAGTGTCGTTGAATATAAGTCATCTGGTGAGCCCTTTTGGTTTCCAAATTTGAAAAATATTCAAGGCGTAGCACATTTAAAATTAATTACATATATATAATATCAAGGACTATTGATTATATATGCATTCCATAATACATCATAAATATATATATAAATATACCAAAAAACTATCAGATTCAAAATAAAGAACCTTTACTTAATTTAAAAGATGGCGCAGATGTTATCATTATCACCTAATTGTTCCAAGGTATGAGATTATCTGTTAAATTAAAAAATGAAAATGGGAGGTTATAAAGTGAAATGTTCTACATTAAAAACAAAATATAGCAATCCAATCCTTAATGTATTTGTAGCTTTATGATTCTATTGAATTGTCCTAACGTAAATAAAATCCCAAAAAGGTCACTATTTATATCCTGAAAATATGCAAAGTAATTGAAAAAAAACAAAATATAGCAATCCAATCCTTAATGTATTTGTAGCTTTATGATTCTATTGAATTGTCCTAACGTAAATGAAATCCCAAAAAGGTCACTATTTATATCCTGAAAATATGCAAAGTAATTGAAAACTTTTTGAGATTAAACACAACAATTATTTTACTAACATTTGTTGGTCCCGAATGCCTAAATATACCTATTCAACAGGATACTAGCCTTGGCTTTTTAAAAATACAAAAAAAGTTTTTAGCTAGGAAAAAATTTTATTTCTGAATTTAAAATCTCTATATATAACCTAGAAGAGGAATTTTATGTAGAGCGTGGTAGTTGTGTCGTATTTTACATTATAACAAATTAAATAATAAAAATTGGAAAATGAAACATTTTTTAAATATAATTATTTTAGTTAAGCCTATTATTTTTGGCGCATGACTCAGCTACGTCATTTATAAGTCGCTGCTCCTTAGCTTAGCGAATTTAATCATTTCTTTTTTCCCCTTCAGTTCCAGTTTTTTTTCTTTCAAATTATTAAAATAAGCAACTAAGATGACATATTTTGATAGGCTGTCGAACACATCAATATACAAAATTAAAGCCTTTAACATTATTAATATTTGGAATTTAATCTTATTATATCAATTCTTTCAATATATTTATTTCTTTATAGCAACTATTAGTTTGTTACCTTTATCAATCAGCAGGATCGAACTGGCGATAATGTGGCTGGATATTTTTTTCCCAATGGCTTCGTGTTTCCGTATTCTTCATTTTGCGGTTCTTTAATTCTTATTTCATGGTTTTTATTATTTCCTATTTTTTTTAGAAAAACATGCCCAAAACCTGGTCAGGCAATTCACATATAAATTTTTTTTAAGCCGGTCCGGATAATTTGTAATAAAATATCAGGCAGTGCCTCGCAAATCTGATTTTTTGTAAAAATTTTAATAAGCCAGCGGGGATTTTAAAATTATGATATACATTTTTTTGAATTAAGCTATTATTTTGATTACTATTATTTGAAAATAAATTACAATATGCTTATTTCTTTGTATTAACTAAAATACTACAACTTTTATTATAGTAAATTCACAAAAAATTCAACAACTTATTTATGATATCAGTTACAAATATACAAACATAGATATCAAAACAAATTTGATTTATAAAACGGTTGTGGTAGAAATAGATTGACATAGAAAAGAAATATAAGAGTCTCAATTGACAGTGGGGTATAAAATATAAATATTAAAAAATGAAAATGTGATGACCAGAAAATTCGCGCAAAATATTTAATGTGCCGGGGCAAACTTTTCGTAAAATTTTTAGGGACCAGAAACCTGCGCAAAAATTCTTAATTTTTGCAGATCTCTAATAAAAACATACTTATATACTTAATATGTGTAATATTTTTTATATAATCGTCTGAGAAATTTATAGGATAGATATTCTACGCATACTGGAATGAATTTCGGGCAAAACCAGATTTTCTTAAATATAAAAAAACGCGCTAATAATTTAGACTATTTGACAATAAAACTATTTAATCAATTCAATTTATATACTGGTGATACGCAATTAGCTGAAATATTAATCAGCCGATACTTTATTTATTGATTGATAATGCGAACTGCCTGTAACACATATATAGAATATTATTGCATTATAAAATATAAATAATACATTACATCATATTGGAAAGGAAATATAAGACTCATTGCACATTTTAAAATCAGGTATATTCATCATATGAAGAATTTAAATAAATGCATTAACAAACATTATATCATTTTTTAATAAATCTCTAGCATTTACTTTGAACTTTGGCTCAAATAAATTTTTTTATAGTTCTACTTCAACAATTCTCTTTCAAAGGACATCATTCCGTTTATTATGTCCCATCATACTTTCCCTCAGACTATTTTCTATAATATAATTTTTAATTCCCCGTTATTACACCAAACACAATTCATTTGCGTAAATGATAATATTAAAAAAATATTCCACGGGCAATAGTACCCGTAGAATTTTATAGATATTAAATTAATAATTAATTATACTTGCTATTGCACTTGGAATTAGTATTATAATTTTATTTTTATTAAGAGACTCAACACAAATTATATCGTCGGCATTTTCATTAATCTCGAATATTATATATTTTGTAAATACGGGCAAATGAAGACAATTTATGCCGTAATTTGATGCTGGATAAATTTGCCATACGTGAAGCTTTCTCCAAGGCCCGTTCAGAAATACCTTGGTAATTTATTTCATCAAAATGCCGGAGACAAACTGTTTATAATGTCAACAATTGTAGAGCGAAATGTTTTAGCCCTATAGAGACCAACCGCATCTTGCTAAGGTCCATCTTTACATTCGTCCCCGTACGACCTCCTTGTTCGACTTATATTTTTTTGTCACTCCATTTTCTATCCAGATGTTATCTGTCAGCTATGAATCGCGACAATTCTTTTAATTCTGATCTGTAGCCATTCTTTTACATTTCCCAAACTAGTAAAATATCCAATATTTTAGTTTGAAAATATAATAAGCGACTTCTACCCTTTTCAAAAATTTCCATAACAATTTGAGCCGTATTTAACGTTTTAGATTTGCATAGATTTCTATATTCAAACATGAGATACTGGTGAGGTTTTCGCCTCAAACGATTTCAATATGACACACTTATTGAGATCGGGATTAATTTCTCTTCCCCATATAATCATCTAAGCTTTCTTTTTTTTCTCATCTTCTTCTTGTACCCGTCACTGTAATCCTTTCTTTTACATGATTTATAAACGTAGATGTCTTGTTTCCTATCCATTTGCTCAACCCATCTCCCCTTTTTAAAAATGTGAAATTCCAAACTTTAACAAGAAGCATTAAAAACTTTATCAACGGTTATCTTTGATAAAAAAGTTACTAGAGAATTCGTTCCCTAGGATTTTTTTTATCGGAAAATTGCGGTTTTTCTTTTCTGGGTTTGCTCTTCTCTAAGTGGTCTCTTGAGTATGGATTTTCTTTTTGGATATAATTCGTATCCATATTCTGTGAATTTTTCCAAAATTGCCGAGTTCTTTAATGGTGCCTAATTTTCTGTAAAAAAAGTTTTCGTGTACTAAAAACTTTATTATCTTAAAATTATCATGTGAGCTAATCCGATATTTATCTAATCTTGTTTGTTATTTTTAATTATATTAAGCATTTTAACATTTAGAATGTTAATGCTTTCCTTGAGGATTATCAATTAGATATTTCTATACTTTCTTTTTCTTTTTCAATAAAAAAAATTTCAAGCGAAAGTTAAATTTCGATTAATTTAAACATTTTTATACATTATTTTCAAATCATTATGGAATGGAATTTGGTGTTAAAATAATAAAAGAAAACAATCCACAATAAACATATATTATATTTTATCCTTATCGGCCTCAAAATCGAGATTTTCTCGTAGCCTAGTAGGGCAAAATGCCCACTTGGTCTTAAGGGCAGTCTGCCAATGTCAATCAGTTCGATATTCCGATATGATAGATATTTTCAATTAGTACATTTCGAATAATAAATTACTAATGAATTAATCGATAGGTAATTTAGTGTTTTTAGTAGGTCTCAGAGGACTGATTAGAGGCTCCGAGAGTCTTGTGGAATTTACCATTGGTATGGTATTCTACCCACATTTAGAAACCGGGTTAGTGGTTCTCAGTGGATGTATGGGTTTCCATATCGTCCTTTTTAATGCGAAACAGATGAAGGACGAAATTTAACAACCTAAAATAACTACAAGGATAAAAAAAAATTTTATTCATTTTATTAACACAAAAATATAATATAAAAAAGAGTAAATATTATTAATAATATTTTAATTTTTAATGTTACTAAAATAATTTGAATAATATTTTATTATTTTTCTTGAAAAAAAAAATTTCATCTTTTATAACAGTTAATAGTAAAAATTAAAATTAAAGATGCCCCGTCCTCAGTTAGAAAAGAAAAATAAAGAGTTTCATTTAGATTGTGTTGGTAAATTCGATAGTTTCCTAAATCCAAAAATAATTATTATGTTCAAAATTTAAATAAAACTATTAACCGATTAAGCTAAAATTTTGGCCTACCAATATATCAAAAAAAAATCAAAACAACAGTGAGATTATGTAAAAGATTTTATGAGAAAGGAAATATATATTTTTTTATCATGTTGCAAAAATGTTTATTCAATGTTGGCCGTTTTGTCGTCGTTCTCGGAAGTCATCGAACATCTCTGCCCCTCTTTATTCTCCGTGTGGATGAATTTGATCTAATTCGACGGTTCTGCTTTATGTCATATAATATTACTTTTCCCGCCTTGGTTTGTACTTGGCCCGTTTTCCAATGTGAACTTCTGGGAGTTTGTCTGGTCGTTTGCGCCCATACTCCATCATTTTCGCGTTCATAAATGTGCCGCGGAATATTTCCGTTAGACTGTGGTGCGGTATTGGTTTTACGCGTCCTCCTTGGGTATATGTTAGAAGGTATTTGACTAGTCGTAGCATTAGTGGTATTGCATGTTACCCGTATTTGATCAACTCCGTGTTCGAAATATGATCGTAAAATGTTTTCGTTTGTCCTTGACGGCGGATTGGTATTACCTAGAGTATCCAAAGGTCGTTTACTCGTTCTCCTTAGGTATATGTTAGAAGGGGTATGACTCCTGGCATGAGGGGTGTTATGTGTTACCCAAATTTGATCATCTCCGTGTTCAAAATCTGGTCGCGGAATATTTCCGTGATTCGTTGATGCGGGATTGGTTTCTATGGTATCCAAAGGTCGTCTAAGCGTGACTTGACGAGGATAGCTTGTTACCCATACTTGACCGTCCTCGTGTTCAAAAAGTGCCTGCGGAATACTTTTACTTGTCGTTCGTTCAGGATTGGTTTCAATTGGTCTAAGTCTTTTTAGGGATTGACTTGGCGACATCCTTCGGTATTTGTTATAAGAAATTTGACTCGCCGTAGCGTGACGATCATGTCCACGTTCAAAAAGTGGCCGCGAAATAGTTTGGTTGGTCGTTGGGAAGAAATTAGTTTCAATTCGGGTATTTAAAGGTTGATTTAACTTTTCCCCGTTGTATTTGTTATAAAAGATTTGGCTAGCCGTTTTGCGATGATCATATTCACGTTCAAAAGGTGTCTGAGGAATATTTTGATTGGTCGTTGGGTAGGAATTAGTTTCAATTCCAGTATTTAAAGGTTGTCTTGCAGCTCCGTTGTATTTGTTATAAGAGATTTGGCTCGCCGTGTCGCGATGATCATATTCACGTTCAAAAGGTGTCTGAGGAATATTTTGGTTGGTAGCTGGGAAGGAATTAGTTTCAATTCGGGTATTTAAAGGTTGATTTAACGTTTCCCTCTTGTATTTGTTATAAGAGATTTGGCTAGCCGTTTCGCGATGATCATATTCACGTTCAAAAGGTGTCTGAGGAATATTTTGGTTGGTCGTTGGGAAGGAATTAGTTTCAATTCCAGTATTTAAAGGTTGTCTTGTAGCTCCGTTGTATTTGTTATAAGAGATTTGGCTCACCGTGTCGCGATGATCATATTCACGTTCAAAAGGTGTCTGAGGAATATTTTGGTTGGTCGTTGTGAAGGAATTAGATTCAATTCCAGTATTTAAAGGTTGTCTTATCGTTGCCCATTTGTATTTGTTATAAGAGATTTGGCTCGTCGTGGCGCGATGATCATCTCCACGTTCAAAAGGTGTCTGAGGAATATTTTGGTTGGTTGTTGTGAAGGAATTAGATTCAATTCCAGTATTTAAAGGTTGTCTTATCGATTCCCCATTGTATTTGTTATAAGAGATTTGACTCGTCGTGGGGCGACGATCATATTCACGTTCAAAGAGTGTCTGAGGAATATTTTGGTTGGTCGATGGCAAGGAATTAGTTTCAATTGAGGTATTTAAGGTTCGTCTTCTCGTTGTCCCTATGTATTTGTTAGAAAAGGTTTGGCTTGTAATGGGATGAGAAGTATTGCATGTTAACAATATTTGATGATCGCCATGTTCAAAAAGTGGCCGAAAAATATTTTCATTGGTCGTTAGGGAGGAATTGGTTTCAATTGAGGGTCGCCTTAGCGTCCGGCCTAGGTATATGTTAGAAGGGGTTTGATTCGTCGTCTCGTGAGGAGTATTGCGATATGTTAGAAGGAAATTAACGAGGTCTTCTTTTATGCGGGAAGGAGACGAGTCCTGTAGCGCATTCTTGAAGGTTCTAAGAAAACTCTCCGATAACCCATCGCTTTGAGGAGAGTGGGATGAGGTTGGTAGATGTTTTATTCCGTGTCGGATACAATATTCCAAAAATTCTACGCTCTTAAATCGAGGTCCATCGTCTGTGACTAATGTTTTGGGGTATCCTAGGTTTACAAAGATGTCTCGAAGTGCGTTGATGATGGCTTGAGAATCAGTGGATGAAATGCCAACTACCTCTGGCCATCTTGAGTAAGAGTCAATCGCGATAAGCCATATTTTATCTAAAAAAGGTCCAATGAGGTTTAAGTGAACTCGTTCTCCTACCATTTTTGTTGAGGGCCAAATAATTTCCGGTTCGTGGGACAAAAACATTTCGCGTTTTCCAAGAGTACTACACCACTTACAAAGCATGGCGAGATCCTTATTTATGTTTGGCCACCACACATAGGTCCGCGCAATTTTTTTCATTCCCGGTAACCCGGGATGCCCCTCATGTATTTTCTCCAATAGGATTTCTCTTAATTGGTGGGGAATTATTATGCGCTCCCCCAGTAATAAAATGTCATTATCTACGCTAAGATCATGCTTCATCGTGTAATACATATTTATATGGTAGCTATTATGATTCGTGGGCCATCCTTCAGCGATGTATTGCTTGATTACTTTTAATCTGGGGTCAAGGTTGGTTAGATATTTTATTTGATCTCTTTGAGTATTTAAAAATGTTTGCACTTGTACCATATTCTCTTGGTACACTTTGCACTTTCGAATTAGATCTTCTGGTTCATTCAAAGGTAATCTGGAAAGCACATCGGCCTTTGTGTTCTTTTTGTTACCCTTTTTTTGTGATTAATCGTGAATGTATAAATTAATGAAGGTAGTCCTGGTTAGGTCTTTAGTCTAACCTACAAAGACCGGAGTAAAGCGTGGTCCAAATAAACGGACCGAGTTTGTTAATTTTTAATTCTATTATTCAATGACACTTATTATATCGGGATTATTTTCTTATATCTTGGAAAATGTTCAGGAAAAATCTAGAAATATCATAGATCAGATTTCTGACCCCCCCCCCCCCCCAAAAAAAATATATATATAAAGAAAGTGTTATATGCGCGTTCAAGCACTCTTATCAATAGAGTTATCTTGAAATCTTTTGATTTAAACTTAAACTACGTTTTATTTTTATGTATTATTTCAGTAGATAATTAATTCTTGCGTGTTTTATAACTATTCATAGTTATACTCCCTAAATTCCCCGAATATCGATTCAATGTGAGTTTCCGAAAATAAGTTCATTGTCCACCGATAGAACAGATAAAATAATTTTAAAAAAAAAGCATTTGTTGTGTTATGCAAAAAATATATAGTAAAATTTATCTATCTTTCTTTCTTTCCTTCCTTCCTTCTTTTTTTTATATATATTATAAACTTACACATATTTTGATTCTACATTTCTCTATCATGTTGGGTACGAAGCTACGAAGCGAAATATTCATATTCACTTTCGATTCTAACACGATTTGGGATGATACTATTGAAATTATTTTTTTTTTAAGAAAAAATAAAATAAAATAAATTTTAGTCAGAATATTAAAATAGTTAGTATAAGTTTATTTTCAAAATTTTGCTTTTACGATAAATTTAAATTAAATTTATCACGAGGAAAATACGATTCTTAAAAGGTTAATTTTATAAAATTTATAAATTTCAGGTGGCTATTATTACGTAGATAAATGTCAAATTTCTAATGGAAGTAAATAAAGTAGGAGAGATGAAGAATTGTCTTTTAAAATGAAAAAAAAACATTTAGCTTAAGGTCAGAGAATATATTTTTTAGTAATAATAATGTGATCGGAAAATATATAAAATAATTGCAAGGAAAAGAGATAGATAATAATCTTTTAAACTTTGTTATATTTTATATTATATTATATTCAATTTATATATAATTAAGCAACATGCAATCCTTTCTTAGTATTTTTATTCGGGGTAAGGTTTTGTCGGCTTCCTCGAAATAAAAACCGGCGTGATTACGCGAAGAGAAGCAACGCATAATTCACGTGAGTTCTTTAAGGATGCGTCGTAGACAAACGTGCAAAATGAATGAGTACAAATTAAGAGATGGACCTAACAAAAAAAAATGAAATATATTTTACCATTTCATTTTTTTTATAAATTTCACCGAAAAACTCAAAATCAATTACAATTTTCCATATCATGACCAGGGTAGGATGGGTTGAGGTCATTTGATCAATATTTTTCCAATTTGATATAAACGTGGACTTATATTAAAACTATAAATAATATTCTATGATAGCCTCATCACCCAGCAATATAATAAATATATAATAAACTAAGATAGCTAGAACCAACATAGTTTAGGAATTAGTCATAAATATGTAAGAATTACAAATTCTCCATTTAACCCCATACCCGGCAGAGAGGCAAAATATTTATAGGTGAGCTAGAAACTTCGGACCCCTTTTATTATGTAGTAGTAGTAGCAGTATAGACAAATGTCTCAAAATTTTAGATTTTATTTATTATAAAAGAAATACAATTTTTTAAAAAAGGCGAAAAAAATATTAAAAACTTTTTTTGCCAATATCTCTTGATTATGGGGACTCCCAATGTATAATTATTAAGTTTACTATGTTACCCTCGTGGCCCTAGAACACCGGTCACCCTCTACTATTTAAAGAAATATCCTATACTTTGTTTGAAGTCCGTATGGTAAATTCTATTCTATTTCATAATAAATTCCATTAATCTAGATGATATTACTCAAAAATTTATATAAATTACAAAATTTCATATTTGAAAATTGTTAAAATAATATAACCCATAACTCTATTTTTTTTTAAATATTATATATTTTTATTTATTATCTTAAATGCAATTTCTACTCGAGGAGTGGGGAAGGGGGGGGGGGGGTATCACGCTACATGGTCATTGAAAATGAAGGGAGGTAGATAGTGATGATGACTTTATCATTATTTTAAAAAATTGGGGGGGGGGGCTAAATTTGGGTATCTTATTTTTGCTAAGGTAAGGAGGGGGGGGGGGGGGTAAGGGTAAAATTGTCACTGGATTGGGAGGTGTAAAAGTCCATGATTAAATGTGGACCATCAGATAAAAAAAATAAATTTACCATTCATGTTGATGAGATTTAGATATTTTTGTAATTTGAAATAAATCATCAAAAAATAGAATGCATAAATAAAAATGAGAAAATTTATAATCGACACCTTAATCATTATATATAGATAATTATTATAAATTAACTTAAACTGGAAGATGTGATATTTTTCAAAGAGCTGAGCATCGATAACTTGGCATCAGGTAGAATTAACAAAAACATTTGATAATTTATGTCTTCCTCGAGGTACTTTTCGATTTCTTTGACAATGATCCATGGCTCGAAAGAGTAAACAAATGACCTGATTACATTATTAAATTAAATTATATTAAAATTTAATACATAAAATAATATATTTATTTTTTTTAATTACATGGCTGGGTCATAAATTTTGAATTTCGACTTTGATAGGGCGTAATTTTGAAGTCTAGAAATGAAGGCTAAACCTTTTGATTCATAACTCTGGGACATGATGACAAACCAAAACCTTAGCTCATTCTGACTGCTGGAAGGAGGAGAAGAGAGATACATTGAGTCCGAATACTTTACATTTATTTTATTATATGAGCCTGTATGATTGGTAGGATTTTTCATCACCTTTTTTTTTTAAAAAAACCAATGCATGTTTATAAATATAACAATATCGGAATTATAGGAATTTTTTTCTGGATTAGATCACAAACTGGACTGTAAAATAGTCAAATTACTGATAAAATCAGGCGCGTAGCCAAGAGTTTTCTACGGGGAGGGGGGGGGGATAATTTTTTTATATAGAAGTAATTTGTTTTGGAGCATTAAATAACGATCATATAAAATATATTAAAACCAATTATATATATATATATATGTAGGATAAATTTGAACATAAATAATAAAATATTGTAAAATAAAAAATATTAAGGGCAAATATAATACGGTTTAAACATATTATATAGCTATATAATAAAATATAAAATTAAACATTTTATAATGATTTAAAAAATTATTCAAAATATCGTTCATAAATGAAAATTTCAATCAATTTTAAGATGTCAAACTTTTGATATAGGTTTTTATTCTATATAATGAAGAAAAAGGTCCTCTCATTCGTGCTAATTGGTATCATTGCCAAAATAATACAGCAAATTTAATAAATTTGGAAAACTTATTAAATATATTTTAAAGTATGCAATACTTCACTGTATTTCTTAATGGATTATCTATAATTATCTTTTGGTTTCTAAGTGGTTATATAATAATATTTGCGATTCTCATAACTTCAGTCAATTTATTTGAAAAATATTGCATAAATTGTTGTGTAATAAATAATGTATTAATATCCGCTTCAGATGAAACATCTGTTTCAGGTGATTATGATATTTCTACAAGTGCATACAAAATAGGCTCTCCTAGATCCAAAAAATGCTGTACCAGCGTTATGTTGAAGGCTCCAATCTTGTCGTGCATGCCTTTTGCAGTTTCTTTTCTATTGTAGCATAATAAATCTCAGAAGTAATAATATTCGGCACATTCTGCCTATTAGGATAGCTGAACAATATACTCTAGAAATTCTATCAGAGTTATTAATTGAGATAAATTAAATAGAATTTTTTGGTTGATAATATTTTCTTAAATCTATCAGTTAAGGTTAAAAAAATAATATTTTAATTATCTTTTAAAAAATCTAAAATTATTCCATTTTTAATCCAAGATTCAAGTGTCATCATAGATTGAACCATCTTCGGATTCATTCTATTTCGTTTTTTGTTATTTTATCACTAGCTTTGGAAAATATCCGTTCAAATGCTACAGATGTAGCCTGTTGTGGGAGATAGTCCATAGCTATTTTGGCTAAAATTGGAAATCGATATTGATTCCCTTCCCACCAATCTAGTATGTTAGAATTAATCGGATATAAAATATCAGATAAATAGCTTTGGATTTCATTATCATCTTTCTCTGCTGATGTCCCAGTTCCCATGAACCTATCCCTGGCTATTCTCTCCCTCAAAGATATTTCCTTAAATAATAATGATCAATAAAATAAATAAATATTTTTATATACTTTGTTTGACTTTATGCCACTTGATAAAGTGCTTGCATATTTTTCAAATATTTCTTTAAATTGAATAAAATTTTCATGAGTATTTAATAAATTAAACATGTAAATCTAAATAAAAAGAAATTTTATAATATACTATAAATAATTAGGAATAACTTTTTTAATTCTGGGGTCTAATCCCAATATAAAACTCCATACTTAAAAATGTATGAATATAGTGATTAATTTTTTTTGTGACTTTCAATGTAAAAGGTGCATCAATAAAAGAGGGGAAAGAATTAGAAGTAAAAATATTTTCAATATGTATTTGTATATTTTCCATTAGCATGCCTAAATAAGAGAAAAACTATTTAAAAAATTAAATAAATATTCAATCAATGGTTGGATAGGAGGATCCAGATAAATCCAAGGTGGTTTCATAGAATGGCTTTAATAAAGGAATTAGTTCCTCTATTTTATTTTTGTCACCATCAGTCAAGGCAATGTTGCCAAATGTTTCATATTCAGAATAACAAAAAGTTTTTATAGTCTCAAAATTCTAATAATAAAAAATATATAATCCTATTAAAAATATAGATAGATAATTTACTGATAAGACCTTCTCCAACATCAAATATGTTGAATTCCAGCCGGTTTCAACATCAATTGGAATTTTTTGTCCATTATCTTTAAGTATTACTCTATATTTTTGAAGTAATAAAGGACTTTGAGATATGTTTGTTGTAATTGATCTTACTTTCACAATAACTTCATCTATATTTTTCAGAATATCCTGGCAAATGTTTATCACATGTGCCATACAGCCATATGCTGCAAATGGGTTAGGAATCATTTAAGTTTTCAATAATCTCTGAGTTTTAAGCATATTTGCAGCATTATCAGTTGTTAAACTGATAATTTTTTCTTTTAAATTGTATTCAATAATTAATTCATTAAGGCATTTATATATATTTTCAGCTTTGTGAGGATACGGCACATAATTAATATCCAAAATTATTTCTTTCATTTTCCATGTTTCATCTATATAATGGCCACTTATAGATATATATGGAAGCTTTTGAACAGACGTCCATAAATCTGTTGTTATAGCCAGTATTATAAAATTTCTTTTTATTTAGGTTCACATGTTAAATTTATTAAATACTCATGAAAATTTTATTCAATTTAAAGAATATGCAAGCACTTTATCAAGTGGCATTAAGTCAAACAAAGTATATAAAAATATTTATTTATTTTATTGATCATTATTATTTAAGGAAATATCTTTGAGGGAGAGAATAGCCAGGGATAGGCTCATGGGAACTGGGACATCAGCAGAGAAAGATGATAATGAAATCCAAAGCTATTTATCTGATATTTTATATCCGATTAATTCTAACATACTAGATTGGTGGGAAGGGAATCAATATCGATTTCCAATTCTAGCCAAAATATCTATGGACTATCTCCCACAACAGGCTACATCTGTAGCATGTAAACGGATATTTTCCAAAGCTAGTGATAAAATAACAAAAAAACGAAATAGAATGAATCCGAAGATGGTTCAATCTATGATGACACTTGAATCTTGGATTAAAAATGGAATAATTTTAGATTTTTTAAAAGATAATTAAAATATTTATTTATTTATAATCAAATATCTATCGCTATATATATACATATAAAACTAATTAATTATGTAAATAATATAATAAAAATGATTTTGATATAATTAAAAATATTGAAATAATTAATGCTAAATAAACTTTTGTGGCTTGATAAAAAAATTCATGGGACGGACTGGACTGGACCGGACAGATGGTTTCACGGTCCGGTCTCATTTGACTTAACGGTCCATCGGTCAGGTCTTATTTGAGAAAAAAGGGACCTGACGGGACCGGACCGTTGCAAACACTGGCTGTGAGGATGAACTTAAAAGATTCATATAAAATAAATAACAAAACAATATTTAAAGTTTTGGAAGCAGGAATATTCATTTCCTTTTTTGAGAAAATTATCGAGTAAAATTTTGTCAGCTGCAAGTTCGGCTTCTAGTGAAAGGTTATTTTCTGTAGCCAATCTCTTATTAAAGGAAAGGCGTACACAATTGAAATAAAAAAAGGATGGACATTCTTCTTTTTCCAAATAAATTTCGATTTATAGATTATATTTATTTTTTGTTATTAATATGAATTATGAAATTAGAGAAATAAATAGAATGAATTCAAAAAAGTGTAAAATTATAGCAATAGTTTTGAAAAATTTAAAAACCGTGAATTTTCGGGCGTGACGGGCGTGAATCAAAATATTGCTTGTCGTGAGCGGGCGGGTCGGGTCGAAAATTTTTTAGTGGTAAGCGTGAATGGGTGTGAATTTTATTTATTGCCACCGTGAGCGGGCGGGCTGTGAATGAAAAATTAGGCCCGCGCCCACCTCTAATAATAAATACCACACAAATAATAATAATACGAGAAAACCGTGCTATTTTTGTAATCGTTTTCATGCTATTAGAAATTGTCCAGCATACGGAAAAACGTGCAACAAATGTAAGAAATCAAACCACTTTGCCGTGTGTTGTAAAACTAGAGGAAAATTTACGGTACAAATTACAATAATAATGAGATTTCTCAATAAAAAAAATCTACAAATATGGACAGCACCCAACAATTACGGTATTAATAAACAACCACAAAATTAAAATGGAATATGATACAGGTTCAGCAGTAACCATTATTAATGCAACAATATGGAATAAAATTGGGAGGCCAAAACTTAGAATGGCTAGAGCTCCAACTACATATGGAAACAATACAATAAAAATTATGGGCGAAGCTTATGTAAAAGTGCAAATAGATGATAAAATAAAATGGCATCCGTTGTTAGTTACAAAAACAAATGATGCAGCACTATTTGGATTTCCTTACCAACAAATGTAAAAATCAATGTGATCAAATAAATATAATAATAATGATAATGGTAACGTGAATATTGACAAACTTTATAAAAAATTAATTTCTACGGTGTTTGATAATAAATTAGGATTAATAAAAAATTCAATTGCACTGCCAGAGTACCGTTGCCTTTAAAAGTAGAAATTGAAAATGAACTGAAACGTTTGGAAGAAAATAACATAATAAAGAAAATAGATCCATCAACAAGAGTGGCCTGGAGTACTTCAATGGTAGTGGTACGTAAAACTTCCGGTGAACTATGATTATGTGGAGATTTTAAAGTAAATTAAATAAATTTTTACGAAAAGATTATCATATTCTACCAGCCAACGTTTGAAGAATTAATCGCAAAGATCGCTAATGGAAATAAATATACAACATTAGATCTCAAAAATCCATTACGAGGCATTAAATATGGTGGGAACAATTAGATAAAAATGTCAATAAACTAGTTAACAGTTGTAGTGAATGTGAAAAACATCGCAGATATACCAGGAGTTGCCGTATACCAGGGGAATCCGCCATCACAATCCTGGAGAAACTACGAATAAGGGAAGAACCAGTTGAAGCCAAATCAATAAAAACAATAACATTATAAAGTTAGGAGATGATAAAACAGTAGAAATTAATAGATGAACTTTAAATACAACTATTGGTACACAATCTTAACTTGGTGGGAAAGAAGATATGTTATATTTTAATATCTTATATATTTTAAAGGTTACGTTATATATTTTAAAGGTTACGTTATATATTTTAAAGGTTACGTTATTTGAATATTATATTATTATAACTTTCCTACAATAAATATTATATTATGGAGGTCAATATAATTGCATATTATTAGAAGTTAAATTACATAAACTATGTATAGAACAGAATTGATTATAAAAGATATAACCTATTTGAAATAGAATACTCTACAATTTACAACTCTTGAAGCCTCTTTATATTTTTTCAATACAGGAAGGGGGTGAAGGATTTCTTCCCTCTCCCACCTATGCTAGCTATGTGCCCGAGTCTTTTAAATTTTTTCAAAAACTTGTACAGGGAGATTTATCCCCCTCCTCTTCGATAATAGTACTCTAATTAATTTGAAGATTTTTTCTATCCATCTTTGGTTTCTTTTTCAATTGCAAAAGTTATATAATATATATAAATAAAATATCAAAATATTTTATTGGATGAGATAAATTAATAAAATCAATTTGATACTTTTGGCTCAACATATCACTTTCACCATTAAGGATACAGGTTTTCTGATAAAACCAATAATTAAAATATTCTTAAAGCCCATACAATAAGACTTTGAAAAAAGCATAGGACATTTACAAAAATTTTTATTCAATAAATTTTCTAAACCAAATAATTTGAAGCTCAATAATCATTATGGCTAAAAAAACTATATTATTGAATTGATTTTTCAACCTATTTCTTTTTATATATTATATAATTCATATAGTGATACAAATAAATGTTTTTTTAAAAAATAGGCATCATTAGCAATTACCGTGGCATTAATCTAGCACTATTGTTTTTTCTATATTGTCTTCACAATTTGTGTTTTGTGATATAATGACTTCACTTAAAATTTTGGCAATTATTGATGCAATAAAAGTTTTGCTGTTATGTATTTATAATAAAATTTTTGGTATAAAATTCATTTGCCATAATAAACATTTACAATAAAAGTAAAATGCTTTAAAATAAAAGTTCCAGTGAATTGAAATGGAACCATTTTGGAAAAGACCTTTAAGCCTCTCCTGTCTTGATTCAATATATTTTTACTGCTTATAATGCTAATATAATGAAAGAATAAAATAATTTTAATATAAGCTTGTTCTGCTCAATTTTAAAAAATATTTCAACACTAGCCAACCCACTCATTGTTTTAATAACATTTTTAATCATTTCACCTCTCTACCCAATGTTTAAATTAACCCATAAACCCAAGTTTGCCCATAATATGGTTTGGCTTAGATGGGCATGTTAAAAATCCAAGATGTGCAAATGAAAGATTTCAAAATTAAAAATGGATAAAATATTCAATAAGGCTGTTAAATGTGGAACCTAAAAATTATAATAATTTTAGAAATAAATAGAATTCATTAATTCTAAATAAAATAAATTATATTTATTAAAATAAAATATTGGAGATCTGATTTTAGATTATTATTAATACTACTACAAAATTTAATATAAGGCATAAAAAACATAAATATAATATAGACAATGCAAGATTCAATTATATTTTTTAAATGAATGCTTGAAAATATTTCTTAAAATTTAATTAAACTGATATATGTATTAAGTTTACTTTCATTGATTTGGCTCTAATTTCTTCATGATGAAGTTCAAATGAATTTATCTTAAAGTTTGATTCCATTGAATCATTATAAGTAAAAAACTTGGTTTCATCTGATGTATCACTCATAATTCTAAATATATTTTTAATAAAAAGAATAGGTTAAATATTACTTTTAATTAATGCCTACAATCCCACACTACTGGAATTATTCAAATTTTTTATTTGATATTGTAGAATTCTTTCTTGTCTAGTATACAATAAATCAAATGTTATAGAATTCTATATAAATATTCAAACTTGTTAAGATTTGAAATACTTTTGAATGCGTGAATGCATATTCGATAATATTCAAATAAAAACTATGACATTTATACTTTTATTAAAAATATTTATTTTTTACATATCATAGAGTCAAACACTTTTTATTAATTTTATAATTCTGTGTTTTTAAATACTATCAATTTCATCTAATAACTAAAATATAATGTATAATTCTAAAATAATAATATAAATAATATACATTATATTATATTTCCATAATTTAAATCAATCTTCGATATGTTTTTTGGTATCTTGAGATCGCAGAATCAACATCATATGAATAAATAAACTTTTTGAGTTAATCTTTCCGTCAGCCTGAAGTACTTTAGTATTGTCCCCAGTGGCGTAGCTATGAATTTTCCTTAGAGGGGGTCCATACATATAAAAGCCTGGGGGGGGGGCGTTTAATGGGTCTTCGGCCCTTTTGCCAGGCCTTTGGCAGGGTTTATCTTACAAATCATAACCATATCTTCGATAATATATAATAAAATAAATTTTTATGCATCAATAATTTGTTTTATAATTTAGTAGATAATTCTCAATGACTTTATAATAATAGTATCCTGATTAATTTCAATAGTAATATAATATCCTTCCACAAACATCAAAACCAGAAAAATATAAATATTATTGGTATTTATTTGATATAAAGTCACCACTTATAAGTCTTTTGAACGTATAATCTAAAAATAAATTATTGCTCTGGGAGGGGTCCAAACCCGAAAACCACCCCCGTAGCTACGCCACTGATTGTCCCCAACTGGTTGCTAATCTTTAAAATCTCATATCTTAAATTTTTGTGATTTATTTTTTGTAAATTTTCTATTTTATTATAGGAATTCGGTCTCACTCAATCGAAACTGGTTGCCTACCGGCCTAACATCATCTTCGCAGGACTTAGACCAGTGGTACTATGTTCACTCATAGTATTATTGCCAAAATATCTATTAAATTATTTTAAGGATATGCTCCACAACCTCGCGCAGCTTATATCTTTCCTTGAGTGTGAATCGTTCATACACTTTAACCATTCGTCTTAGAGTGATAAGAATATGTTAATATTTTTTGATTGGCAAAACAATTGAAATTCTCTTTAAATAATTAGAGACCATTGTGGGAAACAATTTGCCTACATACCCCAAATCTTGCTATCGGAGTCTCAAGTTTCAACTGAGCTACCTCTACCCATTTTGAAAAGTAATCTACTAAGACTAGTCAAATGAAAAATCGAGTAGTTATGCCAAATCTATGTGCAATCTTTCTCATGGTTCTTGGCATACCTTCTAAGTGAACAAAGGCATTTCTGCTATTTTAGGCTTAAAAACTCGAAGTCCAATCATTGGCATATCTATTTCACAGCACAACTTGACCACCAGCAATATAATCGAAAAATCGATTTCATAGTGATCATTCCCGGATGACCTCGTGCCAAAGTATTCCAAAAAAACCATCCTGCCATTCCACACAACAATATCTTTATCCACCGATAATTAATAACGGCGATGGAAATAATATGACTCAGTATCACTAATTTATTTGCTGACTCTCTCAGATGGGTTTATTTTTTTGTTTTTTATGTTATTTTTTTTATTGTAGAATTCCTCATGGTATTCTAATTGGGATTTAGACAAAACTCATAAGTTGCTTCATCATTTTGAGTATATACACCTACTTTAAAAATATTTATTTTTAAAAAAGCAGAGTTGTTAAAGTAGCGCGCTATAGCGCGCTATCTTTTTTGGTAGCTATAGCTAATAGCCGCTACTTTTTTTAAATTATTTAATTTTTTAGCACGCTACTTTTTTTAAAAGTAGCTAAGTAGCGCGCTACTTCGCTACTTTTAAAAAATATAATGAATATAAGTATAAACATGAAAATTTAAATATAATATCATAATTAATTATAATTTTTATAATTTATTATTTAATTTTGAAATTTAAATATATTTTCAATTTTTAATTTATATTTTCAATCTGTGTTAATAATCTAAAATGGCATCGTCCATGGATATCCAAATCCTTGAAAGTGATTCAGATATGGAAGATTCAAGAAGAAAATGTACTTAATAGCTCTAATAACGTTTTTCCATTCCCTAAATTTGAAAAATTTTTTTAAATAAATATTAAAACAAAATCTGGATTCAAATTCATGTGCTTAAAATGTAAAAAAAATATATCATCAAATCAATCGAGTAGCTATAACCTGAAGAAACACCTAAAGGTAAATTGTTATTTTTACATTATAATATTATTTATTTTATTAGACTGTTCACGCCAATTGCTATAAGGAAATAGAGAAACATATAAAAAATTTTGGTATAGGAGAATCTTCATTCAAAAAGACAAATACTATCCAAATCAAATTAACTGATAATAAAAATGCCAATATTTCACAAAAATTGGCTGATAAAGTTATTGTTGATTTTATTATTGACACAGTTCAGCCAGTGTCTTTGGTTGATAATCCATCATTTACTCTGATGATTAAAACTTTATCCCCTGGCACAACAGTTTTATGTCGCCAGACACTTATGAATAAAATAGCCGACAACTTCAAAGTGATGAAAGATGCTCTAATAGTAGAGTTATCATATATATCTTATGTATGTACCACGGCAGATAGTTGGACACATAACAAAAGGTAAAAACTTATTTATATTTATAAATTGATCTGATTAAATATTTTTAGAGCTTATTTGGGAATCACAGGCCATTGGTTAGACCCTAGGACTTTAAAAAGAAGATCTGTAGCCTTAGCCCTTAAAAGGATTATAGGATGCCAGACATATGACGTACTTGCAAATAAAATTATTGACATCCACAAGTCTTTTAGGATTCATAATAAAGTTTGCAAGATGGTTACTGATAATGGGTCTAACTACCTGAAGGCATTTAGGTTATATCACAAATTTATTTATAATATTTATTTTAAGTTATGATTTTTATCAGAATGGAATGGTTATTATTTAATCTATAAAATATTTAGTATTTTAATATTTCACATTATTTATAGAATTTTTATTAACTAAATACACACATATTTTAGTAATATTATGATTATCATAATTTATATCAAATTATAAATAAGATAGGCTAATGGCGAAGCTGGATAATCTTACTCCAACAAACATAGATTGCTGAGTATCTACCACGAAGACATCCTCAAATAATTTTTTTGAAATTAAAGATGATTTCATAGAAAATCCAATCTTTTTTTTCAATCAAAAAATATTGAGATGAACATTTTTGATAATTTTTCATATATTAAAAATTTATATATAAAATTTTATACCCCCTTGCCCTCAAGTGCTAGTGTCGAGAGATTATTTAGTAAAGCAAAGCTTATACTTTCTGATCGTCGTTCTAGACTTGGGGATGATAATATTGAAATGATATTATTATTAAAATGCAACAAATTAAAATAAATATTTATTTATATTGCTTATTTTTTTATAATCTAAACTAACTATATTTTTATATTTATAAATGTTGATTTTTATATATTATTTATTATACATTTACATTATAAGCAAAAAAAAAATAAAAAAAATTTGTTTCATTTGTTTCTAAATTTTTTTTTTATAAAAAGTAGCTTAAAAGTAGCTAATAGCGCGCTACTTTTTTTGACAAATAGCGAAAGCGGTAGCGCGCTACTTTTTTTGACAAATAGCTATTACGGTAGCGCGCTACTTTTAAAAATAGCGTTTAACAACTCTGTAAAAAAGGAGGAAGTTTGTATGGAAGGAATCAATTATATATGCATCTAATAATAATAGGAACTAAGAATTTTTTTAAGAATCATGTTATATATTTTCATCTAATAATAATAGGAACTAAGAATTATTTTTTAAAAATTATTTTTAAATTTGTAAGCAACTTCTACCCCCCCCCCTTCCTCCTATATATAAACGCTGTATACAGATATTTGAAAAAACTATTTTAAAATATCTTAAATAAAAAGATACATCAATTTAAAAATAAAATAAAAATTAACCAATCAGAAAAAAAACAAATCTAATATTAATATAAAAAATATAAACAGAAAAAAAAAGTAATAATAATAAAATAATAAGCTCCCTGTGTGAGGCAGCAATCACTAATTTTATTAAATGTCAACTTTATTGAACTACAATCTATAGAATCTATATTTATTTCTTTTGATCTCCCCTCTAACAGTTAAATCAATAAGACGAATACGATTAACATGTATAACATCTCGATTTATAGCATTTTCCTTAATAGGCAATCGATGCATCAGCTATAACATTTTCTCTACCAACCTTATAAGTAATGTCGAAATCGTAATGAGACACAGCTATCAAGCTCATCTTGCTAAACGATGAATGGATATTTATGTTTTCCCCATTAATTTTGGGAAAATTTACTGTAGTGGTAGTCCACTGAACTCTAGTTGTAGTCGGATCCCCAGGTTATAGTATACCGGCAGACAATAATCTATTTAATTCACGCGGAAAGTTCTGGGAACAGGAGAATCCTCAAAATAAAATTTCACTGCAAAATCTTGAATTCTAGGTTTATCATCTCTGAATAATCTTATGAATTTTACATATTCTCAGAATTAATCAAAATGGTTCCACGTCAATTCGGAGCGGAAAATTAGGCGCAGCATTAATTCAGCGCGGAGTGGCGCATCAACAATTCAGCGCCTATCTAATACAGTTGCAATTTATTATAAATTTATTAGTATAAAAAAAGGATGATTAAATAGAAGTCATTTTGAATGTTAGTCCTTTTAATTATTTCTTTGTATTTTCTTACAAAAATCTCAATTTTAATTACTATAAGTGTAATATCAATAAAAAAAATAATAATATCAAAAAAATTAACAACCAATATTTATGCCAATTTTTTGTTGGGACAATTTACCACATTATAAGGTATGTTGATTAGTAGCCAATAGTAACCCTGGAGAATTTGCGCATATTAGAATGAAAGAAATAAGGAAAAAGAAAGGTTTGGACCTCTATCTCTAATCTTACATATTATTTTGGCTAAAATCATAATC